GTGTGTGTGTGTGTGTGTGTGTTTGTGTGATGTACATGTAGTATGCATATTAAATTAATGATATTAGTATATTGTTATACAGTAGTTGTTATTATTATACTCACTGATATTAAGGAATGTTGTATCACTGAGATTAGCATAATTTGTCTTTCTCATCCCTCCAAACTCTATGATCCAAGTACTGGTTGAATCTTCATTCCAAACTGATAGAGAATGAAATATCCTATTTTTGACTGATTCAGGAACATTGACCTAATAATGATGATGATGATAATGATGATGATAATGAAGATGATGGTAGTTCTTTAATGACAGATAGTTATACAATCAATAAGACAACATTATAAAATACATAATATGTATGTGACTTTGTGTACATGAATATGCATTATATATTTTATATGTACATGTATAAAGTAAGAACATATCATCATAATGTGTTCTCCATTTACCTCTTCCCAATTAGTTTTGTTGATATCAAATGTCTCACTTATATTGCCACCAATAACCAGAAGTTTCAGTCCTGAAGGATTACTCAGTAATACACTGCGATGATAATACAGTGATTGAACAATATCGCTCCCATTAAATATCCTTTCACAAACCTAAATGTACAAAAAACTAATAATATAATAAATATTGTACCTATTATTAATTAATAATTATCATATTTATTGTGTATACATACCACTGATCCTTTAGTAAATGTAAGATGATACACAAAATTTTTTGACATAACATTATGATCGTCTTCAAGTAAAATAGCACTGGTATTATCTACTGAAATCAAATTGAAGTACTTAATTCGAACAGTGACATCTCCAGTAACGTTAGATGGGATCCACTGGCCTACAGTAATTAATATTATTAAGTAAACAAACCTATTCCATAATATTTATTAATTTACATTACCTGTAGTAATTCTAAAATAATGAATATTGATAGATCCTGGTTCAATTATTACAAGATAATCTTCTCCCTCAATCTTTACAGCAATCATACCACAATCAACCATCACCTTAATAGGACCATCCTTATCATTAGTAGATACAACTTTCCTCCATTTGAGAGTATCAACATTTAAACTGTACAGAACATTATCATCATAGCGGAGATGACTACAACGTCCTCCATAATAGAATATCTCATTCCCAATAGCAGCAGCTGCGTACTCCCTGGTACCCAGTGGAGGATCACCAGTGGTAGGTTTCTGCTCCCACCTACCAGTCAGAAGGTGAAGTACCTCTACAACTGATGATACTCTTCTCTCTATCTCAATATTGTGTACTTTAGGACGGTCATCTTTCTCCCCACCCCACATATAAAGACAGTCTCCTACTATTACTGTAGAATGGCCACTTCTCTTAGCAGGTTCATAGTCTACAAAATAAAACAATTAAGAAAACTATCAATTACACATTATTTTAACCTTTTGCAGTGGGGCTGGGAATGGCTGCCATTATGCAATTGCAATGTGGGCGACTCTGTGGTTAGCAAACATCATATCTATGCAAACATACAAGTGTTACATTTACTGTTCATTGTTGCAGTTGTACACTTGGCTGTGACATAAAAACTATAGGAACATGTTTCCAAAAGTACTACTTCCAAGGCCTGAGTTGCAAGGCTTCAACTGATATTATGACGTGCATTCACAATTTCACATACATTATTCAATGTTTTATAATGAGAGGAAGTGAACTTACAAATTAAACACAATAGCAAAAATAAAATAAACAAGTGGGCAATCATTAGGCAGTTAAAAACACATTGGCATCATATCATTGTGCTATATGTACATCTAGCTTTGGTTATTTGACAATTTGAAGCCGTGAAAATTAAGGAAATCTGTGATGAGCTGGTAAAGATGATTTCTTGTCTTTCCTCCAGATAAAGAATGATCCTGATCAGTATACACCTAAAGACATAACATTATTCATAATACCAAACCATGCACTCAAGATTTGCATAGCTGCAT